GCGTGGTGTTTGCATACGTAGTTGCTCGAAGAGAAATATTTGCTGTGTTTAACTGATTTATTATGTTGTTTCACAAGTATTAAAGAGTGTGTTGTTATAGCTAGCTCCTACTTTCCCGAGAGTCCTCAGATTAGTTGTTCTCAAACTGTGCTGCTCGCCCCAGAAAGAGAGCGTAGACAATATTTTGATGGGACGTGAAGCTAATTAAAAAAAAATAAGAATATTTGTTAGATATTTTCTTGTTGTCCTTATTTTGAATTGTTACATTTCTTTATTTTGGATATTCAAGTTCCATCCTCGTATTTTCGACGTGTTTTTTGAACTACGCATACTTTCGCCTTACTATATGTTATTTGTAGCTTATTGTTAACTAGTTAATTTTAAGGTGGGCGCGAGACTTGACAGATTCCAAAAAGGTGAAGCAGCTTAAAAAGTTTAGGAACCACTGTTCTAAAGCAAATTGTATATTTAGAATTTTTTAACTTTTTCATAGTTTCAAGGCTTAGATGTTTGTGCAAGTTTTAAACAGGGATTGATCCATGCGTTCAAATTCGATAGTGTCTTAATACGTAAGGTTTCAACATACCAGAGCATACATGCGTCGGAAAGTAATTTAACTGAACCTTACATGAAAAAGAATTTTAAAATCTGGAAAAATATAAATGACTCATAGTTTGTATATGAAGTTATAAGTGTTTGTTTAATAAAATAACTGTTTCCATTTATTGTCATTCGCAACCAACGAATAAGATTGTAAAGACAAGTTTTGAGTGTGTTAATTCGAGTGAAATATGATTTATTGCTATACGGTAGTTTCACGTAAAGTAAAGAGCAGACGATGTTTGCCTAGGTAACCAAATGCTTGATATTAAATATTTGTCTCATTTAACAGCTTCATTATAATTATACATCAAACATTAATCACATTTAATTCATTCCAGTGTGTGTTTCAATAACTTAACCATACGTTTCCATGAGTCTTCAGCTGGTTGTGCAAATTCAGACCAGTTTTCAATGATGCTCGCATTAAATTTAATAATGTTTTTTTATAAGTAAGGATTTCAATTCTGAGTGGATATGCTTTACAAGCGGTTGCACATGTACTCAGGTTGACAAATTTATATAAAGATAATATGCTTATATATGCGTGAATATTTTTATTACCTGATATTGTGACATATATATATACATTTATATATAAAAGTGATTCCCATTCGTTTGACGGAATAACTGTTTTTTGTTTAAAGAAATGCATCCCTCAAAACATTTATAACACCATCAATTTACCCACGTAAAATTTTCGACACCTAAAATGGTTCACATATAATTGGATTTTATCAAATGACATTTTATATCCTTACCTATGCCTTTCTGAACATGACTGTTTTATACTTTTATTATTTTATTCCCTGCTTATATTTAGACCTATAATTGATGAAGGCTAGAAAATGTTGAATTATTTTAGTTTTTTAGTTTTTTGCATATTTGAAAATAGAATTAAAAATAATTATCGGCCATAAACTGAAAGTGAAAAGGTTAGGAATAGAGAACAGTTACCGGCAAAATTTCAAGAAAAATAGCGGTCACAATTACCATGATTCTGATATATGTAGGGGCAGTAAAATAAATTATCTAATACAAACTACATAGCTCAACTGCAAAGGAAGTCATTATTGGTATCGATAAGCAGTTCAAGTAAGATAAGCAAAGCTCAATGGCAAGGTGGTCACATATGAAATTTGTGTTAATTAGTGATTTCAGTTGTTTGCTTTAATTGAAAACTTAAACAGTATGATATTCTAATATGATCTAATTCCAAGTCAGTTCGAATGTAGCATATAATTCGAATTTATGTCCCAGCGAATCACGGCAACTACTTAGCTGAGGAAATAAATACCAGCAGTGTTCAAGCTTGAACAAAATCAATGTAAAGCAATAATTTATTGTTATTACATCTTCTCCAAATTTTAGAATATAATTATTAGTTTACGTATACGATAGGAAACGAGTATTCCCCAGGTCTCTCTGATGTACAACATCGGAATATTACATTAGCCAGAATAAATCGACCCTGAATAAATTTAGCAAATACGTATCATATGCCTCGGCCCTACAAGTTTTGGGTGTGTTAATGTGAGGGAAACATGATTTATTGCTATACGGTAGTTTCACGTTATGTAAAGAGAAGACGATGTTTGCCTAGGTGACCAATTGCTCAATATCAAATATTTGTTCCATTCAACAGCTTCATTTTACATCAAACATCAATCACATTTAATTCATTCCAGTGTGTGTTTCAATAACTTAACCATACGTTTCCATGAGTCTTCAGCTGGTTGTGCAAATTCAGACCAGTTTTCAATGATGCTCGCATTAAATTCAATAATGTTTTTTATAAGTAAGGATTTCAATTCTGAGTGGATATGCTTTACGAGCGGTTGCACATGTACTCAGGTTGAAAAATTTATATAAAGATAATATGCTTATATATGCGTGAATATTTTTATTACCTGATATTGTGACATATATATATACATTTATATATAAAAGTGATTACCCATTCGTTTGACGGAATAACTGTTTTTTGTTTAAAGAAATGCATCCCTCAAAACATTTATAACACCATTTTACCCACGTAAAATTTTCGACACCTAAAATGGTTCACATATAATTGGATTTTATCAAATGACATTTTATATCCCTACCTATGACTTTTTGAACATGACTATTTTATACTTTTGTTAATTTATTCCCTGCTTAGATTTAGACCTATAATTGATGAAGGTGTTTAATGTGATATACAATATATATGATGATATAATATAGCCTAAGCCGTAGTAGATATAGGTTTGCATTGATCAGTCCATATGCGGGATTACGGACGTGATATCGTTTAACTGCCCTGACTTGTTGGTAGACTTGTTGGTGGAAAAAACTCTATGTTTAGTACCTTCTGTGTTCTTAGATAATCATGTATTCACATTACATTACAAAAAAAAATTACTGTACATTGCACATGGACCAAGTTTGGCTCTACAGTGTCTTTCGGTTGCAATTAGGACTGGGCGTTTCGAAACTCTGTTATACGAAACGAAACGCTGATATATCGAAACGGCGCTGTTTCGACTTTCTAAACGGATATTATGACGTCATAACAAATGCAACCTGAAATTAGTTATAGAATTCTGATTATCGCGCACACGTCCTAGCTAGGGCTGGGCTGTTCGAATCGAATATCCGAAACGAATCGTAAAGTAAATTATTCGAATCGGTTCAGAGCAAAATTTCGAATCCCCGCCATCTTTTTTGTTCCTACCGCCAATGGTCGACGTGAATTCCTTATTTTTTCTATTGAAGCCGTATTTTTTGATGAAATTATGACATATATATGACTATTTTCTGTGGTGAGTTATTGATAATACGTGTTTCTTATTGTGCGTGAACGCTCAGAGTTATTCATTCGTTGGAGGACCGATTACAATAAAAAAATCGCATACAATTATATATCACCCAAGTATTCGAGATTCGATTCGATTCAATTCTGAAATTATCAGGTATTCGAAAATGTCCAGCCCTAGTTAAAGCGCCGCCGTCCACATTTTGATTGAAAACATGTACAATTATTTTATTTAATGTTTTATTGCAATCGAAAACACCCTTTGCGACACGCAATGATTTAAAGACACGTAAGGATTTAAGTCAGCGCCGACATGAAGCACTTATAACACGTCGAGGATGTTTTTGATTGAAAATATTTTAGAATTAATGTCGCATATTTCGACATAGTCGAGTTAGTTTGGGTTTCGCGGCAAAAAATCTGCAATCAAACTCTGTCGTAATTAATCGTTTTCATCCTCAGTTTTGATAGTCACCGAACATAACGGGAATTTTTTTGCGTTTGTTGCAATTTATCGCGTATAAAATAACTCTTAAATATTATTTAACATCTATCGCAGATATCTTTAGACTGGCGTCGTTGATGATAATATGAAAATATTTAAATCAGAGCTGGCTTGACAAATGAAACACTATTTTCTTAATTCTCCGTCATTGGCGGACGGAAATTTGTGAATCGGGCCCACTCATTTATTCATGACTGATCACGTTATAACATTTGCGTTTTTCTGATATAACGTTTAGTTTTGTGAGCAAAATAAAAATGAATGCCTGTATTATAGCCAGGGATGGCCAATACCGAATAATTCACTATTTGGAATACATTTGAGAAATACATACATTGAGAAATTTCGAATACTTCAAAAATAAATTTACGCTTATCTTTTATTGTATGGCGTAACTAGCATGCAATAAACAATGGGATGACCGTTACCTACAAGCTGGCTACTAGAAAATTTATATTCGCCGATTGCCGGGATATTTTATAGTAGTATGCCCATTTTATTTTCGTAAGTACGGAAGTGCGAATCAACAGATTGTTGAATGGTATGAATTAGAATGATAGTTTGAAACAAATAAACTAAGCACCAAAAATTTTAAAATGGTAAAGTATAGTAAGAATTTTCCGCGGTAAAAGGTCGGGGAAAGGTCATTCAGTGAATCGTCCAGGGCCAGATTATTCAACTCCGGCCGTATTTTGCCGAGCGATACGCAAACTACCGTACCTTACTGCGAAGACTAGTCCGGCAATCCTTTTGCGTGTGATAATCGCCCACGTGATTCAAGCCTGCGAATGCACACAAAGTACAGAATTAAGTGCACGATGCTCCAAACAAAAACAGGTTTCGTGAAATCGCTCCCCTAACGCCCCCTTCGACTTTTTCGCCCCGCTCTGTATCGTTTTCGCCCACCGGGGGGCGATATCGCCAACTTTGGGAATCACTGATATAGAGCTTGTCCAAATTCGCCAAAACATAAGATTTTTAACACTCCTTTATAAATATATAAATCAGTTTGTTGCATATATTTACTTTATAAATCTCATAGTAAATAAATATCAATAAATAACAACTTTCAATGATTCAAAAAGTATCTAAAACAACATGTCGGCTATTGGAATTGATCTTGGGACAACATATTCATGCGTTGCTGTGCACAGGAATAAAAGAGTTTGTATCACACGTTCTTATAAATTATTTCAAACATTACATCAGTTTCAATAATATTAGGTTTAAAAATATTGATCTACTTCTAATAGATAAACTATATTAAAAAGCGGCTCAAACACTGATAATCTTCAAAATTTCACAAATATTAAAACTATGATTCAACAATAGGTATGCACAAAATGAATTGTGACTAGGAGCAAAGTAAAGTAAGCATGAGGATTAAATAAAAAAAACTTGGCATGAAACAAACCTACCCAATCGCAAAATTTAGAACAAATCTATTAAATCTGAAAAATTTAAATATTCTGGAGTTTCAAAATAATTCATTTAATCTACAGATTGAAATCGTTCCCAACGATCAAGGTAAGAGATTAACACCTTCTTGTGTTTCAATTTCTGACACTGAATTGTTGACAGGAGAGGCTGCATTAGAGGAAATTCCATTCAATTTTGAAAACACCTTGTTCCGTAAGTAATTTTAATTAATTTCAATAGTAATAAATAAAATTAATTAGAAACAGACAAAAAAATATTTCTTTATGAATTTTTGTATTGTAATGTATAAACATTTTACGTTTTGGTCTCTCAGTGGCTCAGGAATCTGATTTTTTTTTTTGCCAATGCAATGTCGTAAGCTATTCATTTATAAGTAGAGAAGATAAGGGGAGTATTGGCAAGGATCGATGAGACTCAAAGTACAATGTGGTACAAATTGGCAATTTCTCCACGCTTCTGGTGGTTAAAAGAGTAAATATTATCAGCAATCGAGTTGGAAGACTTAGAAACAATACTCGAAGAGTTTGATATTATTGAGTTCCTCAAATCCATGACATAGAAAGTTTGTTTGCAAGTTGGCCACAACATTAACAAAATACCAATTTATAGCATACAACTCACAGTTAAAAGATAATTTATATAGTTTTGAAGATATTTGATAATTATAAACTTTTTAAAAAAATATAAAAATGTTCGAATTCAAATATAAATAGGTAATAAACTGAAATGTCCTAAGAGAACTTAACAAAAACAGTTACTAAAACGCATAGAAATGTCTGTTTATAAGAAATTTTAAATATACACCATATGAAATCGTTTCCATGCAGAAAGTTTATTTTCTCTAATCGCTTTGTGATCTTTAAATCATACAGAAATTAAGCGACTCATCGGCCGAAACTATGATGATCCGAATGTACAAGAAGACTCAAAGCTATGGGGTTTCAAAATAATAAATGAAGATAATAAACCAAAAATACAAGTATGTATTTGAGATCTGATATTTGAGATATTAGAACTGTATTTAACGTCAAACGTGATGCCATATTATAAAGCTTACCATATAAACTGGTCCTGGATTTAAATAAATATTGACAGACATAATTTTACCACATTCAGCATCTATAAAACGGTAATATATCTTTAATATTGGGTTTGTCTTTTGAATGATAAATATTGGTTTTCATCAGGATTACACTTTTTCAGGTGAATTACAATAATGATTCGAAGATATTTGAACCTGAGGAAATTAGTGCCATGATACTAAAACAATTGAAAACTTCCGCTGAGGATTATATGGGGGAAAAAATCACTGATGCCGTCATAACCGTACCAGCTTATTTTAACAATTCTCAGCGTAAAGCTACCCTTAAAGCTGGAAGAATAGCCGGTCTCAAAGTTCTACAAATGATAAATGAACCGACGGCTGCGGCTATTGCCTACGGACTAGATAGAGAGGTATTTCATTCAACTTGTTCCATAATTCATTGTATAAAACTTTTTGTTACGAGGAAAAAGGGATTTAGCCTCTATTCTGGGAAAAACTTTAGTTTTTAAAAATGTTTCGGTAATTGGCGTATTTAGTCACTTAACTTATTGGCATCTTTTTTTTTTTTAAAAAGATATGAAACAAATGACAATTAGTTCAAAAAATACTCTATGCACTTTGCCTTTGAATAAAACTGTTTAAAACAATTGAAATATTCATCCTTAGACGACTTTGTTATTTGAAACTTCATTCTTTTAAAAATTATTTTAAATCGTCTAGTGTACAAGTTTTTAATCGCAAGTTATCATTTGTCTCTGTAATTCCTTATTGATTGATAACATGTAAACAATTGTTTGCATGATTATATAGTTTTGCATATATTTGAAAACATATCTGATGTTATTTTAGGCTATATACTACTCATAGTCAGCGACATTTCCTATTTATATTGAAACAAACATTTCAATCTTTAAAAAAATTCTTAGTGTATTTTTTAATTTATACCCAAAGAAATAATTTTACGTAATAGCACATTGATGGAATATTGAATGCAGTGAATAACGGCGTTCCATAAGATCGTACAGTATAGAATCGATTAAATATATATCTAGCTGAAAAGAAGTTTCAACCATTTTAACAAACTTATTTTTACGACAGAAACACGACAAGCGAAACGTTTTGATTTTTGATCTTGGAGGTGGAACATTTGATGTGACACTAATCACAATAAAAGATCGAGTGTTTGATGTTAAAGCTACAGGAGGAGATACCCATATGGGAGGTAGGTCTATCTTTCATTTAAAAAACTGAACTTTTTTTCTTGATATTAAAAAAGTTCAATTGTGTTTCTATATTTCCATTTACTTTATACCGCATTATTCAAATATGGTCTTTCAGGAAGAAAGGCCGGAGTTGCAAAAAAGCAAAAATAATTTAATTTTTTAGCTAAGTCAATAATTCTTGTCCAGAATATTTAGCGATTAGAAATGGCAACATTCATTTACGGCCGATTAAATGAATTTGTCTCACTTTTCAAAGCTATACCTCTGTAACCTTGTAAACAAAATAACGTGACTTAAATTGATTGACCAGTTTTTTTCACTTCAAGTGTTTCAGTGTCTTTCTTCAAGTGTTTTTTTTTTAATTTAACTTACTAACCAATATATCTGGGTGAATAGCGTACTTTTCCTGCATGTAACTAAAATTTGTATTTAACGTAATTTATTTTATAAATTGTCTATTACACCTTATATAATCTGTATTATGATATTATTATTGAGGGACAATCAAATAGACATAGTTTGGCTAATGCCTCTCATCAAATAAACTCGACCTTGGATACAGCACATGTCTTTTCTGTGGCAATTTGATTATGTAAAAGTTACACCGAGCTTTTATACTTTTTTTACAAGATCTTGATCTTAGAAGCTCATATATAATATTTATTTTGTGCTGCGACAACGCCTAAACAAATAAAAAAACTACACATAATCTTTTCAATTTGTGATTAGGTACTAGCCTTGACCGTGGAATTGATAACATTGTGGGAATCCCATGGGAAACTTCACTCATAAGATGGTACAAGCATAAATTGTCCTAACTTGCGACCGCAAAACTTTTCTTGTGTAAAAGCTTGAATATATAGAGATATACAAAGAAATAAATTTTTTTTTTAAATGAGGAGGCCGCAAGATATTTTTCAATGCCTAGGAATAAGGGAAAAAATTCGCACGTATATTCGGAATACAATAATAAGATCATTAGTTTTTACGTATAAGTGGATACAAACAGTATTTAAATGAAATTTCATAAAGAGGTCTTGTTCACTTCGATGTTTAGGAGAGGACTTCAATAACAGACTGGTAGAACATTTTGTTGAAGAATACAGAAAGCAAACTAAAGTTGATATATCAGGAAATAAGAGAGCTATGAGCCGACTTCGAGTTAAATGTGAATCAGCTAAGAAAACGCTATCTGTATCTATGGTAGCAAAGTAAGTTAGGGTTACACTTTTCGTAAACACGTCTGCAAGACTAAATCAAGTTTTGAATTGGCTGAATTAATTTTTCACAAAGTTTTTAAACAGTTATCAATAATTTCGGAGACTGCAAGTCAAACCTAACTAATATAGTGCGGTATCAATAGTATACATTACATATTGATGTGTCTTTTTTTTTGCTTTTTGCAGGAGTTGTTCTGACTTATATTACTATATAATGGTAAAGTAGTATGAAAAATTCAAATTCTTCTTTGTTTTTAACGTTATTTTCACAGAGTTCAAATAGACGCCTTATACGAAGGCAACGATTTAAAAGCAACCATAACACGAGATACATTTGAGCGATTGAACTACGATTACTTTGAACAAACAATTACGACGGTTGAAACTACATTGCTGAACGCAGGATTTAATAAAAAAGAGGTGATAAAATAGATCCTGTCAAAACAAAAAGGAGTTTAAATTTTAAATATAGCTTATAAATTAATTTAGAATAGTTTATAAAAACTAAATAAATTGCGTCCATTTCAGAATGTAGGTTTATTGATTATAGTAAGTGATATAAGCTCTTCTTCTAAACTGACCAATTTCTTATAAACTCTTTTTAGGGATAAAGTGAACAACACCGTGATTAAAATTAAATGAATTTAACAACTTGTCGCGTTTGTTGTATTTTTAGGGTTTTGAACTAATTATTCCCGGAGAATCTTATAATTACAGGTTGACGAGGTTGTATTGGTTGGGGGGTCAACTCGAATACCAAAACTACGAAAGATGATCCAAGATTTTTTCGATGGGAAAGAATTGTACAAAACCATAAATCCGGATGAAGCAGTGGCATACGGAGCAGCCGCCCTTGCTTATAATCTTAGCAAGTATAAATCTGAAAAAGTAAATACTTGGGTATAGTTTTATTTATATATTTTAATTCGCAATCAAAACTTTGATTAATTAGTATAAATTAAGAACTTGTTGGAGTAATTGGGAAATTACTTCGAAACTAAAAAGTTCACAACTTGAAACGAAGATTCGATTCAACACTTATATTTACCTTTATTAATATTTTTTAATGAATGCCACTCTAAAATCTGTTAAATCGAATGTTCTTCGAAAAAATAATGAATTGCCTTTGAAAACAGGCGAATAAAGTTTATTAAACAAGGATTGCTGATCAACTTTATCAATGTTTTCAGTGTAAAAAAAATTCGATTGCTGACTGTATATATAAATAATACATATGCATTTAAAAACAATAAGATAATTTGACACCATATATATCAATTATTTGGCACCCACTATATTCCATTGGTAATCTTGCCATTGTAATGACCTAAGAAATCCATTAAATCACATTTGAAATTTAACCGATAATATTTTAACCGATACCCAACCAATAGTACATTATTGGTGAAGATCAATATGGACTGGCAAAAGAGATTCATGTCATAATGCTGAACATGATTCTCTTAGCTTTGTTATTTTCACAATTATTTCAAGTGATTGCGATTTGGCTTTGTTTGGTGTGATCTGACTAACCTATCGATATTTGGCATTTTCTGATTCAATTTATCTATATTGCAGATATATTCCTTAAAATTCAATTAATTAAATTCAGTCATTTATTGGAAAAATATATGTTTAAATGTATTTCTCATTTTAGGTAAAAGAATTTATTCTTCATGACATTGTTCCTTTGCCACTTGGTATCAACGTTCATGGTGATATTATGTCAGTGGTTGTGAAGAAAAATTCAAAAATTCCATCCAAACACTATACGTCAGTAACCACTGTAGCTGATAATCAAACGCAACTTAAGTTTTCGGTAATTGTGTTATTACTTTGTGTTCATATTTTGAACGAAAAGACAACAAAACTAATTGAGTTCTTTACTTTATTATTTTTCTTGTATCTTCTTTATTTAAACAGGTACAAGATATGCGTAAACGTTTGTTTTCACAAATAATGTGCTAGCTATAACTTAGCATAAACTATATTGCTATTATGTTGTTAATTTCTAAATAATTACAATAAAATACAATTTTAATGTTTATTTATATATTCAACATTGTAGGTGTATCAAGGCGAAAGAGCGGCTTCCATGCACAACAAACACTTAGGGTCATTTGTTCTATCGGGCATTCTTCCTGCTCCACGTCGAGTACCCAGCATAGATGTGTGCTTTGATATCGACCCCAGTGGTGTTTTAAAAGTTACAGCTACAGATGAAATTACTGGAAACAAAAAAAAATTGCGACTCGGTGCTGACACAATAAAACTCACTCTAGATGAGATAGATTTCATGGTATAATATTTAAAAACATGTTCTTCACTCATACGTATGGACAATTTTTGTGTATCTGGTTACCTAGACAACTCCTTCTTAAGACAAATTTTAATTATTCCTTATGATGTTAAAGATTTTATTCAAAACAAAAAAACAAATAGCTGAATCCCTAAAATTGTTTAGCAAATTATACAGTGTATGAATATGCAAGGCGTACATACTCAAAAAAAAAGGAAATTCAAGATTATACATACCCATCATTTCAATTATTAAATTACTTTTCGTAGGTGCGCGAAGGGGAAAAATTCAGAATGGAGGACATTGAGCACAAAAACGTTGCACAACTGAGAATAAGACTAGAAACGTTGGTTTACAACACTGAAGAATCTGTCATATCTCTAGAATGTCAAGGAAAATTAGCCAAACAAGAAAAAGATGTATTGCTTGAAAAATGTCGGGCAGTCTATGAATGGCTTAGACTGAACAAGGTGATCCATTTATTTCGATAACGATTTAATTAATTTGCCATGCCGTTTTTAATTGATCAACTATTTACAAAAACGGATAAAATTAAAGACATTCGTTTGAATTTAACATTTTAATTATGCTATGATTTCAATGTTACAATAAGAGGAAGAGAAAATTAAAGAGAAAAATTTATGTTATAAATTATAAAATTGTAATCATTTCAATTTAGAAAGCTCCAAAGAAAAGTATAATGGATAAACAAATTGAATTTCAGAATTGTTCTTATCCAATATTTAGAAGAATATGTGGAGCTGAGAAGGTGAAATTTATGTTTTATTAAGCCTTTTATATTATACGCAGATGTAACGTGCTGCGATAATAGCTACACAGAACAAAAGAATAAGTTAATATTTTATTGTACTTGTAGTTTTGAAAAACAATCAATACAATTTTTTTTTAAATATTTGTGTTATCGAGCTTTTTAACACGGTTATTTTCATCAAAGTCGGGATAATTGTATAAAATAAATTTTTAGTAACATTTGGTAAACAAAAGTGTTTCATATTAAATATATAAGTATTCAAAGACATTTGGCTAAGTTTACTCACTTTATTCAAATCAAAAAGGATTTTTTTTTAGATTTTTTGTAAATAATACAATAAAATGAAAAATGTTCAAATTTTCGAATGTCTGATTACAAATTTTCTGACGTTTAGACTTTGAGCCTATAATTTTTGAAAAAAGGTTTTTATAATTAGACTATCAGGTGCAAATTCTATTTAACTATTGCTTTTGCTTTGTCCTATATGCAACCATAGTGAAATTTGTAAAAAAAGTAGTTTCCATTATTTACAACACTTCATTGCAAACATTGCGGTATAGTATCTGGTAAAACAGTTTCAGTACCGCTTGTGTGGTGTCTAACAAATGATGCTCATGAACACGGTAATGAACTATAATTTATTAGTTCTCCTGCAATCTGAAAGCCGTAATAAAGTTTATACGGCATACAGGTGTGTGGTGGCCCATCGTTGTCACGCGTAAAATCGAAAAAAAAAAATAAAAAAAAAAATAAAAAACCGAAATTAAAAATATATATGTGAAAAAACATAAAAATATTTGAAAAAAAATTAAAAGTAAAAAAAAAAAAATTGAAAAAAAAAAAAAAACTAAATAAAAAGAAAATAAAGGGGTTGACAACGATGGTCCGCCTCGTGGCCCATCGTTGTCACGCGTTTTTATTTTTAGTAAATTTGCTTCTGCTCGGGACCAACGTTGTCAGGCATAATCCTACGAGCACAAATGTGTTCCCTGGGTTTCCAACTCACTACTGATTTTCTTGAGCAATATTTAATATGAAAATGTTTTATAAATTCTCCATGCTACAAGTTCAACAAGAAGTAATATATTTATAATAATGATAAGAGAATATAGAATTGAAAACGAAAATTCGGAAAATTTGTTTTTACGTGTAGAAGGTAATTTAAATGGAGAATGCTGCTTAACTACTCAGTTGGCTGGACACTCGCGATGCCGGTACCGTACCGTCTTACCAAATACCGGTAGTCGGTTATAGTCGCTTTGCGTCTGACCGTACCGGTAGCCTTGCAATCACTCATGAAAGAATGGGAGATACGGATTGTCTCGTAGAATATAGATTACTGAAACACTCTCTGCGCCTGCCCCATACCGTGCAGCCGTAACGTACCGATCCAGACAAATGATAAATCGCCCGTGCTCAACCATTTATTTCAATCCATACCTCGATCTTAGTAGAGTATAGTGAGTCGAGGTATGGATTGAAATAAATGGTTGAGCACGGGCGATTTATCATTTGTCTGGATCGGTACGTTACGGCTGTACCGTATGGGGCAGGCGCAGAGAGTGTTTCAGTAGTCTATATTCTACGAGACTATCCGTATCTCCCATTCTTTCATGAGTGATTGCATGGGTGCCGGTACGGTCAGACGGTACCATACCGGCATTAAACGAGTGTCCAGACAACTGAGCAGTTAAGCAGCATTTTCCTATTAAATTACCTTCTACACGTAAAAACAAATTTTCGTATTCAATTCTGTATTCTCTTATCATTATTATAAATATATTGCTTGTGGTTGAACTTGTAGCATGGAGAATTTATAGGACATTTTTTCATGTTGAATTCATTGAATATTGCTCATGAAAATCAGTAATGAGTTAGAAACCCAGGAAAAACATTTGTGCGCGTAGGATTAAGCCTGATAACGTTGGTCCCAAGCAGCATCAAATTTTCTGAAAATAAAAACGCGTGACAACGATGGGCCACGAGGCGAACCATCGTTGTCAACCTTTTTATTTTCTTTTTATCCAATTATTTTTTAAAATATTAATTTTTTTTTTTTTATTTTTTTTTTTTAATTTCAATTTTTTAATTTTTTTTTTAAATTTTACGCGTGACAACGATGGGCCACCATACAGGTGTTTCTGCTTGTGACTCAATTGAAATATTTTCACGATATTTGTAAAAAAACAACAGTATATATTAGTTTTAAAAAATCTGTTCATTTGTAATCAGTTGGCGTACTTTGTGGAATACTTGTACAAAATAAAAAACACTAACGCATAATTGTTCTGTTTGTATTTCAAGTTTTAACTGTGTTAGCTGTTTGTGATAATAATAATAATAATATTATTTGTAATAATATTATGCATAGATTTTAACCATATATTCCATGGCCTTATTTACAGGATCTCAATAAAACAAAAAAGGATTTTGAAGACAATATCACATCGGTGGAAAGGGAAATTCAAGATATCTGGCCTTCCGGCTTGAAAAATGAGAAAAGATATATCGAAAGAGAATGCTACTATGCTAGGGAATTTCTGATATTAAACAAAGTAGGTGAACAATTGCCAGTATATTTATTATTATATTCCATTACTAACTCAAAATGGATTTTTCATGCTTATTCAGAACGCAACAATAGAAGAAATAAAAAAAAGCTACAATGCATTCGCAAGTGAAGTCTACCCAATTTTAGAAATACTTAAAGATGGAAATTTGGTAATTTTCAACTGTATTTTGTTTAAATTAACCGACATAATTTACATTCAATAACTTTGTCTTCTTTTTTTGATTTGGGCTTTTATAAAAACCTATTAATTACAATGATTGAATTAAATGATAGACCAACGTCTATTGAAAATTATTAAGCCCAATATAAGTGGTTTATCGAAATATGACACACCTTACACCTGGCGTCGGCAAACTGCGGCTCGCGGGTCTAATGCGGCACGTGTGCTAATATGTTGACAACCTCGAACGACCCGGCATGTTATACAATAAACAAATATTGTTTTTAGTATGCTTTTTATCCTATACGCAGATGTGACGTGCTGGGAAAATACTTTTACGGAACGAAAAATAAGCTGATAATTTTTCAAAGTTAAGATAATTAAATGAAAAAATTTTATAGTAACATTTAGTGTGCATTTCAAAAGAAATATATATTCGTATGTATTTGTAATAAATATGTATTTGAGGACATTCATCTAACTTCACTCACTCTAACTTCTTCAAATAAAAAGGTATTTTTCTTTATTTTTCACTGTTAAATATTGAAAGACGGTAAAAGTTGTTCGAATTCGAAGTTTAGACTTTTAGTCCATAAGCTTTTGAGGAAGAGATATCATCACTAAACTATAAGGTAGTACTAAATGCAAATTCTACTTAATTATTATTGCCTTCTCTTTGCCCTAATTCTAATATTCGACCAAAGAATTTGTTCCTAGTTAACTTTCAGATATAAAACTATGGTGAAATTTGTATAAAAATTTCTTCTTATTTACAAGTCTTTTTTTTTGCTCGTCATTGCAAACATTGCGTACGATGATAGCTGGTAAAACAGTTTGAGTGTCTGTTATGTGTTGGCTAACAAATTATGCCTATGAACGCAATAATAAACAATAATTACAATGCACTATAATTCATCAGTTTCTGTGCAATCTGGAAGTCGTAATAAAGTTTATAGAGACTACTTCATTTACTATCATATTCATGAATTAACTATAGTTATATCATTTTTTTTTTACTTATTTTAATTGTATATTCTAGAAAGCAGGGAATTCTGCTTGTGTCAAAAATAAAATATTTTTACGCTATCAAACATTAAAAACAACAGCAAATAAGAATTTTGAAAAATCTGTTTGAAACATATACTGTAATTAGTTGAAGTACTTCGGAGGATATTTGTAAAATTTAACATAGCACTTTTTGTTTATTTGTATTTTAAGTTTTAGTTGTGTTAGCCGATGTTTTGTTTGCAATGAATAGATTTTGAACCATACATTCCGTGACCCTATTCATAGGAAGATCTCAATGAAACAAAAAAAGAGCTTGAAGATCATGTCGGATGGGTGGAAAGGGAAATGCATGCATGTTCTTCCAGCTTGAGAAATGAGAAAAGATTTCTTGAAAGAGTATGCTACGATATTAGGCAATTTCTGATATTAAACGAAGTAGGTGAATATCTGCAATGATTTATATATGTATATACAGGGTACTGAAAAGACTGCGGCGTGCTCTCTCTCTCTCTCTTTCTCGCTTGCTATTCTTGCTTTCTATCCCTAGGACGAGAGAGATGAAACACACAAAGGAATAATGTAATACATATTTAAAATTAGCTCAATTCAAACTATGAATTAAATAAACTCATTAAATATTAAATTTTTTAAGAATTTGTTTTGCGTTACTTTTTTTTTAACTTTAAAGGAATACATTTTACGTTACTTTTTTTAACACCCCATATATGTGATTATATTTCATTGATCACTAAAATTGAGAACATTGAAAATTTTTATTCTCATTCAGAACGTCAAAATAGAAGAAATAAAAAAAAGACACGAAGATTTTTCGAGTGACGTCATCCCAATTTTAGGAAGACTTCAAAAAGAAGATTCGGTAATATTCCACTTTATTTCGTTAAAAAGGTACGAAATGATTCTACAGCTTAGTCTTCATTTTGTCGATCTTAGCTCTATAAAATGACAATGATAAAATTAAATGCTCGAGTAAAGTCCATTAACAATAAATAAGCCGAGAAAATAAGCAGCCCACCGAAACAAGACACTTCACTTATTCTGTCATATATCCAGAATGCTAACTACCATAAATTACGTAATAGGGTAGTGTAGTATATTGTTGTGAAATAAAGCGATAGAACCAATAAAATTATAGAAATGGGAATGATAATTCAACAAAAATTGATTGAATAGTATTTATGGATTTATTTTTCTTGGGACAGAAACTAAATTCGTAAATAAATTTTTTAGGTAGGCAACCTCAAATTATAATCTACATATTTAAATTCAAATGTTTTACATAATAACGTATTGGCCGTTTTATTATAAAGACAAAGGATCTATTTTAGGAGCTATTTTGCGTTATATTTCTAGAGGATGAAATCCCAGTCTTACGCGAGAGAGGGAAAGCTCACACCGGAAAATCCGTATTACCCACTGTACAATGAGCGTGGCAAAGTTGTGTACAATGAGCGTGATAGGGAAATAGAATCACATAGTGAGTAAAAGGAATATGAAGTATACTTAAATTGTTTAATCGTGAAAAAGTTTTGCTTCTGTAGTTGAAATTCTGATGATAGTCAGTAACCTCAACCATGTAACTCTATGTTGTTCAAAAATGTGCTGCTATTGCGTAATCTTTCAATTAGGTAAATCAAGAACAGGCCGGCAGAATGTACTTTCGACGGATGATGGAATGCAACCTGTGGAAAAACGTAAAGAGAATAAACACCAAATTTTGGTAATTTTTTCACGTTATTTTGCATACCACATGAAATATTTCAAACTCCCCCAATTAAATTAATATTATCAAAAACATTGTTCTTCTGAGTTTTTCGCACCATAACTTACTACCCCAACTCTATATTTATCGTTGGTATTTTACTGATGTTTCGGGAGACGTTGACTTGAATGATGCTAGTTACGCGTGAACACTAATCTGTTGAGAGCTCAGTTTGAACAATAAAAATAAATATTTTGCTCGTAGTGTATAGGTAGTCATGTCAAATTTTCGATCAGCATCGTTTATATTTTTCCGCCAAAAACTCGATACTTTGCAAATTTGAATTAAAATAATCACTTCGATTATTTGTCTAGATTTTGATTACTGGGAGAACTCTAACTTTTTTGGCAGATAATATAAAAAGCTTTTTTTATTTATGCGGTACACACGATTGTATTGAAGATTTCAGAAATTTCATTTTCATATTCAATTTCGGTATAAATTTATATTTCTAAAGAACGACAAAGGAAACAGTCAATATTTGCAGAGAGCTCATTCCTCAACTTACAACTTTGAACTACAGGTAAGTTTTTTAATCGTAATCTTTTTTGTCCAAATGCATATTCGTCAGAAGACTTCTGCCATGTTTGAAAATTTGATAATTTGATAATTTAAAAAAAATATGACAGTATTATATATCTAGTTTTAAATGAACCAGCAAGAATATTCATCTACATACATATACAATGTAATCTCGACTCGAATTTGTAAACTAATGAATCATTTCGAACCCTATTTCCTCAATAATTTGTTGTTATTGTTATTGTTACACATCTTGAGCAGAGACCTTGATTTTACAATTCAGGGTAGTAAATTTAATATTACCGTACCAAGTAAGCTATGCTGAACTCTGTATCACATGATGGTATTGAGTTGCTTTAAATACAAATACATGGTTTTGAACTTTTTTTTATAGTATAAAAATATAGAATACACTGTTTTACATTATTCGTTTCCACAGTACCATAGTAAAGAATACACTGAAAACTAAATCGACAATTCTTGTGTCTGGTACGTATACCGTGTTTTGGCAAAAATAAGACTGCGTCTTATTTTAATTTTTTTTTGGAAAGATAACACTATGACTTGTTTTCAGTGGATATATTTCGTTTTCAATATTCAAAAACAAAATTACAATATGAAGAATTCGTGATTTGCAAATATACAAAATAGGAAGACCGATATTTATTCACTTATAAATGAAAGGTTTTCATCTCTCATACGTTTTAGATTAATCATTTAAGACGTAGAAGATAGATTTCTTCCTATCGACTAGGAGAAAAAAAATTTGCGTTATTGACTAGTAAACACTTATAATATCCCCAATGAACTTTGCAGAATATAAGGACAGGCAAAAAAACTATTTCACCAAGGAAACATGATGGCACGGACCAGCCGAATACAGACGTGACAGAAAAAGAGTCGAAACAAAAGGTTGAAATTTTGTTCGCTGTTTTATTGTTTATATAAAGATGTTTTCTGGTATGCAATAGCCTGTAAATAGTTTGTAATATACTATATAATATCCCCGGTTCAATAACTGTATACACTTTCAATATCCCAAAACAAGTTTGCTGAATAAGTGGGAAGAAAAGAAATTGTTTGAGTGGGTTTGGTAGAAGAGCAAAAGGAAATTTTTGTTCAACTGACCTGCACTAAAAACTGACAGTGAAATATTTTCATAGAATACGACAAGAAAGATGAAAAAGAACTGGAGTTTTTTTTCGTTTAGACAAAAAACTAATACATACACGGGTGCTTCAAATTATTCAACGTCATCGATAGCCAATATTTATTAGTTCTCCTGCAATCTGAAAGCCGTAATAAAGTTTATACGGCATACAGGTGTATGGTGGCCCATCGTTGTCACGCGTAAAATCGGAAAAAAAATAAAAATAAAATAAAAAACCGAAAATAAAAAAATAGATGTGAAAAAACATAAAAATATTTGAAAAAAAAATGATAAAAAAAATTAAAATTAAGAAAAAAAAATTTAAAAAAAAAAAACGAAAAAAAAAAAGAGAAAAAATGATTAAAAAAAAAAAAATTAATTGCTTCTGCTTGGGACCAACGTTGTCAGGCATAATCCTACGCGCACAAATGTGTTCCCTGGGTTTCGAACTCACTACTGATTTTCTTGAGCAATATTTAATATAAAAATGTTTTATAAATTCTCCATGCTACAAGTTCAACAAGAAGTAATATATTTATAATAATGATAAGAGAATATAGAATTGAAAACGAAAATTCGGAAAATTTGTTTTTACGTGTAGAAGGTAATTTAATTGGAGAATGCTGCTTAATTACTCAGTTGTCTGGACACTCGCGATGCCGGTACCGTACCGTCTTACCAAATACCGGTAGTCGGTTATAGTCGCTTTACGTCTGACCGTACCGATAGCCTTGCAATCACTCATGAAAGAATGGGAGGTACGGATAGTCTCGTAGAATATAGACTACTGAAACACTCTCTGCGCCTGCCCCATACCGTGCAGCCGTAACGTACCGATCCAGACAAATGATAAATCGCCCGTGCTCAACCATTTATTTTAATCCATACCTCGATCCTAGTAGAGTATAGTGAGTCGAGGTATGGATTGAAATAAATGGTTGAGCACGAACACAAAGATTTTTCGAGTGACGTCATCCCAATTTTAGGAAGACTTCAAAAAGAAGATTCGGCAATATTCCACTTTATTTCGTTTAAAAGGTTCGAAATGATTCTACAGCTTAGTCTTCATTTTGTCGATCTTAGCTCTATAAAATGACAATGATAAAATTAAATGCTCGAGTAAAGTGCATTAACAATAAATAAGCCGAGAAAATAAGCAGCCTACCGAAACAAGACACTTCACTTATTCTGTCATATATCCAGAATGCTAACTACCATAAATTACGTATTAGGGTAGTGTAGTATATTGTTGTGAAATAAAGCGATAGAACCAATAAAATTATAGAAATGGGAATGATAATTCAACAAAAATTGATTGAATAGTATTTATAGATTTATTTTTCTTGAGACAGAAACTAAATTCGTAAATAAATTTTTTAGGTAGGCAACCTCAAATTATAATCTACATATTTAAATTCAAATGTTTTACATAATAATGTATTAGCCGTTTTATTAGATAGACAAAGGATCTATTTTAGGAGCTATTTTGTGTTATATTTCTAGAGGATGAAATCCCAGTCTTACGCGAGAGAGGGAAAGCTCACACCGGAAAATCCGTATTACCCACTGTACAATAGACGTGGCAAAGTTGTGAACAATGAGCGTGACAGGGAAATAGAATCACGTAGTGAGTAAAAGGAATATGAAGTATACTTAAATTGTTTAATCGTGAAAAAGTTTTGCTTCTGTAGTTGAAATTCTAATGATAGTCAGTAACCTCAACCATGTAACTCTATGTTGTTCAAAAATGTGCTGCTATTGCGTAATCTTTCAATTAGGTAAATCAAGAACAGGCCGGCAGAATGTACTTTCGACGGATGATGGAATGCAACCTGTGGAAAAACGTAAAGAGAATAAACACCAAATTTTGGTAATTTTTTCACGTTATTTTGCATACCACATGAAATATTTCAAACTCCCTCAATTAAATTAATATTATCAAAAACATTGTTCTTCTGAGTTTTTCGCACCATAACTTACTACCCCAACTCTATATTTATCGTTGGTATTTTACTGATGTTTCGGGAGACGTTGACTTGAATGATGCTAGTTACGCGTGAACACTAATCTGTTGAGAGCTCAGTTTGAACAATAAAAATAAATATTTTGCTCGTAGTGTATAGGTAGTCATGTCAAATTTTCGATCAGCATCGTTTATATTTTTCCGCCAAAAACTCGATACTTTGCAAATTTGAATTAAAATAATCACTTCGATTATTTGTCTAGATTTTGATTACTGGGAGAACTCTAACTTTTTTGGCAGATAACATAAAAAGCTTTTTTTATTTATGCGGTACACACGATTGTATTGAAGATTTCAGAAATTTCATTTTCATATTCAATTTCGGTATAAATTTATATTTCTAAAGAACGACAAAGGAAACAGTCAATATTTGCAGAGAGCTCATTCCTCAACTTACAACTTTGAACTACAGGTAAGTTTTTTAATCGTAATCTTTTTTGTCCAAATGCATATTCGTCAGAAGACTTCTGCCATGTTTGAAAATTTGATAATTTGATAATTTAAAAAAAATATGACAGTATTATATATCTAGTTTTAAATGAACCAGCAAGAATATTCATCTACATACATATACAATGTAATCTCGACTCGAATTTGTAAACTAATGAATCATTTCGAACCCTATTTCCTCAATAATTTGTTGTTATTGTTATTGTTACACATCTTGAGCAGAGACCTTGATTTTACAATTCAGGGTAGTAAATTTCATGTTACCGTACCAAGTAAGCTATGCTGAACTCTGTATCACATGATGGTATTGAGTTGCTTTAAGTACAAATACATGGTTTTGAACTTTTTTTTATAGTATAAAAATATAGAATACACTGTTTTACATTATTCGTTTCCACAGTACCATAGTAAAGAATACACTGAAAACTAAATCGACAATTCTTGTGTCTGGTACGTATACCGTGTTTTGGCAAAAATAAGACTGCGTCTTATTTTAATTTTTTTTTGGAAAGATAACACTATGACTTGTTTTCAGTGGATATATTTCGTTTTCAATATTCAAAAACAAAATTACAATATGAAGAATTCGTGATTTGCAAATATACAAAATAGGAAGACCGATATTTATTCACTTATAAATGAAAGGTTTTCATCTCTCATACGTTTTAGATTAATCATTTAAGACGTAGAAGATAGATTTCTTCCTATCGACTAGGAGAAAAAAAATTTGCGTTATTGACTAGTAAACACTTATAATATCCCCAATGAACTTTGCAGAATATAAGGACAGGCAAAAAAACTATTTCACCAAGGAAACATGATGGCACGGACCAGCCGAATACAGACGTGACAGAAAAAGAGTCGAAACAAAAGGTTGAAATTTTGTTCGCTGTTTTATTGTTTATATAAAGATGTTTTCTGGTATGCAATAGCCTGTAAATAGTTTGTAATATACTATATAATATCCCCGGTTCAATAACTGTATACACTTTCAATATCCCAAAACAAGTTTGCTGAATAAGAGGGAAGAAAAGAAATTGTTTAAGTGGGTTTGGTAGAAGAGCAAAAGAAAATTTTTGTTCAACTGACCTGCACTAAAAACTAACAGTGAAATATTTTCATAGATTACGACAAGAAAGATGAAAAAGAACTGGAGTTTTTTTTCGTTTAGACAAAAAACTAATACATACACGGGTGCTTCAAATTATTCAACGTCATCGATAGCCAATATTCCAATCAAACAGGTTTTGTTTTGCTTCATGATATCACCAAAATTATAAGAAATGAATAATATATTGCTAATAATATTCTCTTACCAAATTTTGATTCCGACCTCTGTACATCTGTTCATTAACTGAAACTGAAGTAACACAGAATAATAGAATGTAATAGAATCGGTATTATATATTTGATCATTGTATAGAAATTTATTGTATACGCAATCACAGCATTCAGTGTAATTTATTGAATAAAATTTAGTAATTTGGCAAAAAGTTTGTAAGTGCCCACTATTTATCCAAAGATAAAGAATAAAAGATATACGATCATTGAATAAATTGCTTATTATTCACTTCACCGGCATGGCAGATTTCTAATTATACAGGTTAGTTAATATGATGTTGTCGTATTGAATATAATTCACAATAAAAAGACAGCAATTTAATTTGTTTTCTCCAACATTTTGTTGCAAACTTATGAATATAAATTACATTTGCAGCCTTCAGATAAAAAACATCAAGCCTCTAAAAATCAGAATCAGAAGTCGATAGAAGAAAGTGAAACTACAAAATTGGTAAAATCTAATGAGTTTTGTCTGGATTTTTTTTATATGTTAACAAATGCAACTTTTGTGGCTTTTTTTATAATTGAATTTATTTTGAAAATCATATTAGACTTCACTACAGTCTCCCCCTAAAATTTTTATTCATTTTTTTTTAGGTTCAAGAAAGAACAAAACGGAAAAACAAATATAAATCAAGATGTGACAAAAACAGAAGCAATTGAACAAACACAAATGTAGTTTTAAAAACTTTAATTCAACAGATCGTTTGGGGATTGTAAACTAAACTGGTATTCAGATATAATCTGTGATAAATAATGCACAATTAAACTCAAAATTTCTTTATTCAACGAGAATAGCATAACTAAAAAATTTCTATATATATATATATATACATATATTAATCAACATAATGTACAAAAATAAAGTATGCTGTAGTTAAAGCTAACGTGTGAGGTGATATCCGCAAGATGGCAGCCTTACCTTGTGAAAAAAATAGAAATTACAATTTATAAAATGTGCTATCTCTATGCGTGCTAAAACTAAATCTGTCACCATATTATAATCCTCGTTCTAAAGACCTTATACTTTAATTTTCTTCTATTTGTTTATTCTTGTAAAATGAAATTAGAATTCAATTTTTAGTGATACTAGCAGCTTTGATGACATAAATAAAAACTTCTTAACAAAAAGTTTGGCTCTTCATGATTACACAAAAATATGTTACATAAGAACACAATAGGGTTTATAGTATCGCTATTAATAATTTGTTATTTCTTGTCATCACGTTCGGCGACAAACCTTCAAACGGGCTTGTATTTCCGTAGCTAACGAAATTGTATAGAAGTCATTATCTAGTAATATATAACACTAAACTATCCGTTGAAAATGTTTCCTTTAGTTAACCTCTTGCACTTTGTTAATATTACTAGTAATTTATGAGATCTTAGACTATAAAGTAATAAAATATTTCAAATTAAAACAGTACATTCCATGAGATCTCATTCGGAGTGTACAGATTTTTTAGCGCTCCGGAAGTATGTGTACCAATATGGAGGTAACCAGTTTTGTTCGCCCACTTCACATCAAATTGTGTAGAAAGACGGAGGCCTATGAGCAGGGGGGATATTCACCTGGCTAACACAGACAGTCGCCGACTGGTAATAGAACGAAAAATAGGGAAAATCGGAATAAAAATATGGCCCAACCCTAACCTGGTACACATATTACGGAAGTACCGATTTTTTCATAATTTTAATCTTGGGTAATGACTAATGACAATGCTTTAATAAAGCTTGTTTATACCGATGGAGCCTCTTCGGCTCTAGTTAGAAACCGATTTGGTCATGAAACTTACATTCTTGTTGTAAAGGGTATTAGGTTGATGAGTTTTGGCTGTTAACGAGCTGAAAACACGCCAAGCTTTCGTAGAACCGCAAAAAAACGGGATACCAAAATTATAAAAAACGCCAAAAGCAAGGCAATGAACAATTTTAATACTGGCGGAGCAGTAATATGATGTGATTGAAATAAAAAAAGGGTCGTCGATTAAGTACATACTAGTAATGTGAATAGTTTTACTAGTCATATAGTCGTAATGCTAAAAAAACGAAGATGTAAAGTACGCCCAGAGATATCAAAAATGCCGAAATTTTTAGATAACGGAGATTTAAAGCAACGACATGGAAAAAAATCCTGTCAAATGCCGCGTAATTAAAAATATAAAAAATCAGATGCGATAGCGCGTTTTACACCTGGAGCTAAGCTAACCGCGATGCGATGATTACAAAATACCATTCACTAGAAGCATTTTTAGTATTGTCATATAAATCAAATCAATTTGGCACAAGGAATTTTCAAATCATTTCTCTGATATTCGCGTTCTCTGTACATTTCTAAATCCTAACAAGCACATGTTAGAAACTCCGCTAAGAACCCCTATAAAAATATAGTGGAATAGGATTGAAAATCTTAGTATATTATTCATAGAAGCACTATTGATATAATAAAAAGAAACTTTAGTCATGTGATTTGATATATTATTTGAGATATATTCAAATATTTTTTGTTTAATACAAACTGATCAGAATGAATATTATATATTAGCCATCCTCAACTTTTACATTTTGAAGTATTTAATATCAAATGGTTTTGCGCTATATCAACGTTTAATAGATAACGACATCATGAATTAAATATCAAAACCCAAAGATAAAAATTATAATTTCTCCATTACATTTTCGTTTAATGATCAATGAAATGCATTTTTAATTTCAAGCTGCTCTCATCAGGTGAAATATTCAGTTTTCAATACATATTTGACATATTTGACCACTTTCATGCTTATAGTTATATCAAAATTTATTGGGTATTGGCAAAGAAGAATTATATAGAAATGCACATGTTAAGTTTCAAAATTTTGCCATAACATTTACATATTTCATATTTACCTAAATCAGCCTTTCCCAACCTTTTTTGGTCGCGGACTATTTTCTCACCGGCGAAAACCTTTGCGGACTCAAGGTGCGTTTATTGCAACCGTACTCTGTGTGAAGAAGTAATGAAACAAAACACAACAGATTTTTAACGAGTTTCAAAAATCGGAAATTCGCCGCAATTACGCGTTTAGTAAAAGAACCGATTTTTAAGTGTATAAATGGCCTTTTCTGTTGCACAATATTCAATCCATGACAACGACGAGAATCTAAAATGTCTTTTTATTTTAATTTAGTTGTGTTCGCGGTCACTCGCGGTTGCGTCGACGTATGACAAGATGAAAGCATTAATATTTTATATGCAAAATTTGGAGCAGATTCAACCTCGCTTTTGTGAGATATCGCGTAACATACGAAAGTGTCTAACAGTCAAATTCCTATCAACATACTTACCGATCGAGATCGATAAGTAATAACACGAGAAACCACGAAGACGAGGCCAAGTTTACGACCACCCTTGAATATCTGTCTGAGCGAAAAGGGTGCCTGGGCGACTGGATGATTTGGAATTGTTACGTCATTGTTGATTTCTCGCTGATTGTTCATTGTTACGAAAATAAACAAGTAAATCGACGCACGGGTAAACATCCATTACGGTTTGTGAAATCAGTTCAAGACCTATCGATGTCGAGTTAATTCGTCGAAGTCAGAATTTTTTACTTCCAACGGTGATAAGGTCAATATTTTTCAGAAACTTTTTTTTTCTCAAAAAACCTAAAAAATTGAGCGAGTTGATAGATATTCATGAGTTAAAAATGATTAGCAATTCTTTGACTATTGAAGAAATAGATACTGGCGCATAGGGAAGCAATAATCCACGCATAATATCTGCAAATATCTGCATTGTCTTAAGACGTAAAACGCCGATGCACCTCCACAAAACTGAATAGGCCCAATTATTATTAAAGAAATAGAAATTTATAAAAGTGCGTTTCGTATTGAAAACATTTTCTGAAATATTGCGTCATCAAATAAAATTATAAAATATTTCAACTGGAATAAGTGATTCATAGTAAATGCGGAAGTCGGACAAAGTTGATTTATATTAATAGACTAAAATTAAATACCCATGCTTTGTATGTTGGAAATTTGATAGTGACGTATAAGGAAGTAATAATTCACGCATATATCTGCAGTACCTCATAAACGTAATTATTCAGCTGTTATTAGCGTATCAACTGGGAGCGTTATAGACTTATGAAGGTGTGTTCAATGTTGAGAACATTGTTTCTGAATTGGATCGCCTCGGAAGAAACCTATATAATGAGTGGGTACACTTCGTATCAATAGCTAGCTAGTCGCTTTAGTTTTAAATCTGGTCTAGTGAGAACCCGGGTATGATTTAGCGACGAAGCCGCAGATAAAGTGCGCATTTTGAAAGCTATATTTTGCAGGCGGCAGTTGCAGCCTGATTGGCTACCATTTATTCAGAATGATAAAAAATTTATTGAACATATTTTGAACATATACAGTTATATATCATCATAACAATCCGAGAAAGACGTCTAGTGTGACTCGGCAGTAATTTAAAAAATGGATAGCGGAATGGATCAACTTCAGTGACCATTCCAATTCGAATCGAAAATTTCGAAATTTTGCGGTTTTAATCTGTCGCGGAATTCCTAAAACAAAATTTATGGTGTTTTACGTTATCTTAAATATGTATATATATCAGCGTTGCCCAACCCGACTCGTGTTTTCGTCGGAAATTCGCAAGTGAGTTGTGAAATTCAATCGTTTGATTAAGCGACGCGCAAATGACATGTCGCGTCACCTGTTGGGCCGTTACCAAATTTTCGAATAGTAAATTGCTATTCTAATAATTGAATATTCGAATATATGCTCAACCCGGTGACCGTTCATTTAAACCCACTCACATTTGAACCCATGTGTATATCCGCGGGTTCAATCTATATGCGGATGCTAAATCCCATGGGTTAGGGTTAGTATGGGTTCAAATATCTGTAAAACAAAAAAGAATTCCACAGGTACAATAGTATGCCGGTGCATTTGTCGTGGGTTCAAATGTAATCGAACCGCCCAACCCTACTCAGTATCCAGTAAATGTTGACTCGATTAATTTTATGTGAATAAACTAGCTTTTTTATGTTTCATATAAATTCTAACGTAAGTCGTAACTTGGCTGATGGTTAAGTTTTGCAAAAACGTTTGTGGCCCGCAGTGAATTTCTGGCTTGTTGCGGACTCATTCAAACGCTCCGCGGACTCATTTGAGACCGCGGACTCGGGTTGGGAAACACTGACCTAAATGAATAAAAATACATTTCAACCATACCTTGGATATTTGTTAAATTACCTCAGTTTCCACATTACATTTTTTATTCTCTGTTATATTGTCGTCTGAGGCCTCCTAATATTAACTCTTATAATATATATTTATATTTTAAGATAACTTATATTCTTTATTTGTATGGAAAATGCGGTTTATGAAAAGTTTAACATAACCGGGAACAGATGTTACGAGACAACATAATATTGCACATGACATAAATTTAAAAAAATAAATTGAAAGAAATTAATTGCCCAAAGGATTTTGGACTCACTGATAACAAATATATATATATTTCAAATAACACATAGATTTCGCACCAAACTTTTCTTTATATGAATTGGCTTCACGTCTTCTCTACATGATACATGATGTACATATCATAATATAACATACAACATTACTTGCCTATGATTCGAATCAGAGATACATTTCAGAGACATTTCAATTCAATCGACGAGTTTAGTTACCACAGGGCTCGTCTCTGTCTATTGAATCGCATCGATTATCGGCACCGCTATTTGCAATCTATCGAGTCTGTAAGACACACTAGAATTTATTGAAATTTCAAATGATGTTATTTTTATAAAAAAAATTCGTAATATACTTTTGTTAAGAATAAAGCATTATGTAATCAATATCAGATAACATTATTACGTTTTTTTCATTCCATTGATATTTTTACACCGCAACTTTTGAAACGGTGTCCTGTAGTATTTTTTGTTGCATCCAACACGTTTTTAATAAAGTTTTAATCCTATATCAACACGCAAAATTTGATTTTGCCATGAATATTTTATTTTAGAGTATAGAGGGAATTTAAAAAATCGGAAAACCTTAAATGCATAAGAATGACTAAAGTTTACAATGTCCTCAATAACACTGAGATTTCATACAATTTTACCTTTAAATCCTCTTTGAAACGTTTCACTGACAAATGGGTAGTTGTGCTTTGTTTGCTCTGACAATAAAGGATGCTACCAGTTCCAGAAGATTGGGTTTACTGGGTCTACTAATTTTATTCGATTTAAGTATGTTTTGCTTATAAACACTCTTTACATTTATAGCCAGATAAGCATTAAATCATTGATAATAAATTGAAATTTACTTTAATGACGCTGCTTAGCCCCAAGTAAAATGACTTGATAATTGAGTGCATCCTTCTATTAACTTTGGAGATTTTTTATCATCATAATCCACGAGAAATCATAAGACATTTCACGATCATTATTTATGTTCAGTGTTACATAATCAAAGTCATTTTGTTCTCAACAAAAAATAAAATATATGAATTTATAAATAAATTAGGAAGCAAGTCCGCCCACTTTTACTGTTATTCAATTACATTAAAATAATTTAGGCAAAATAGGCATTTTACATTACATAAACAGATATGCATTTAAGTATTCAAAATGTAAAAGGTTAATTTTAACGAAGAGTTAAAATATTGGATTTCTTATATGTTTCTGACGTCTGTTTGCATTAATACTTATGACTTTTTTTGTTGTTTGCGGATTTTATTGTTCTGTTTATCAAGTGACGATAATACAGACATAGAGGCTGTCGTTTTAAAAGTGACGATTACCAATATTAACATCCAGCTAGAGATTGTTCAAAATATCGGTCATTTTGTCATGATGACTGATAGAATATCATTGCACAACTACATTGTGTTTCATTTTGAATCTGAAACTACAATTAGTACCGACGAACTCAATACATTATGGATCGATGACTTGTCTGAATAACCAAAATGAATATATTTTACTTGGTACGCTGTTGATCTATTTGTAAGATGCGCCGTTTGACGCGTCCAGGCATTTTAAACATTAATTCATATATGGTTGTTTCACGTATGAGAAAATCCACACCTTGATTTGTAAATAATATTTCAGTCCTGTATAATTTGATCTATTTACTTCGACCCCATCACAGTTCATTGGTGGGTCGTTATTTGAAACAACTCAAACAAACAACGAAGCGGTTCGCTGCTTTCGACTTCGTCTTTGTCTGGGTATAGGCAAAATTGTATTAAATATGAAGTAACTCGGGACTGTAAGTTTAGGCTGTGCAACGCAGGGTATGATATAGTACCTTTGGCTTCACTAAAAAGATGACAGCAATTGGGATTGATCTTGGCACAACCAATTCATGTGTGGCAGTTTTCAGACACAATCGGGTATGCCAATTTTATTACAACATAGAAGATTTCAGAATATTGTGTTAATTGGAGGCTTAGTAAGCAACTTGAACTGAGTCAACTTTTATATCATTTATTCCATACAAGCGTACATATTTACTATATATTTCGATCCGGGTGGTTTAACACCTGTATTGCAGCCCAATTCTTAAAGCATTATTTGATATTTTAGAATAACTATTAGGTTTTAAAACTGAAGCTTCAATAGGTATTGAACTTTTAAAACTGAAGCTTTCGAAAGTGATATTATTGGCTTGTAATAATATCAAGAATAAATGTGCCCGATCACACCCACTCCACCTGAATTAAAATATTCTCATTCATCTACTGATTTCATTCAACGATTCCATCATTATAATATTGTATCTGCATTTGAATATAACAGGTTGAAATCATATGTAACGATGAAGGCTCCAAAGTTACACCATCATGTGTGTCATTTGCAGATACGGAGATACTTATTGGTGATAGAGCAAAAAATGAAGCATCAATGAAGATTCACATATGCTTTTTTTAATCATTATCTCAATTGTATCCCAAAGTAATTTAATTGTGTTATTTATCGATACTAATTCATCAGTTCTTGAACAGAAAAAAGGGGCGATATTTGTTAAATGAAGTAAATTAAAATTATGGATTGCTAATTTTTACTTCAAAATTAGAAAACCCCAAAAAAATTGTTTTTGTTTACAAAATATGTACTGTGAATTCATACACATATATTATCTCTTCTCTTATAATAGAAATGAAGCGTTTAATTGGTCGAACATACGATGACCCAAACGTCCAAAATGATTTGAAATTGCTTGGATTCAAAGTAATCAACAAAGACAACAAACCACAAATACAGGTAGAGTAACTTTCAATTATGGAATATGGAATTTAGGCTCAAATATTTTCATTTTACGTAAATCGGTCCAAAGACAAGCAAATCGTAGACAATAATACCGAGACAAGAATATTAAGACAAGAAACTTAATGAAATATTAAAAGAAAATAATTATGCTTTCGTTCCAACGGTAGTTATTGATATTAATCAACTGGCGAAAGTCAAAGCTGGTGCTATGTTGATATTTGAGGTTTCTTACAAAGTGGATAAAATTTAACTTTAAAACCGATTGGTTTATAGATTTCGACAAGGTATAACATCTTTATTTTTATTTTATTCTCGAAAGAATTGGTTTCTTGTTCAGTTTCAGTCTCTAATTCAGTGAATTTGGTCCTTGTTTCTGGTAAAAATTGTTGACTTGTCTTATACATTCACTCGCATTTCCATTTTTCACATATGTTGAGGGTGAAGTAACCATTCTTCATTTCTAATTCGGATATTCATTAATAATTACCCAGGTCAGAAAATTTCGAGCACTTTCCACGTATTTTTTTTGTGATACGATTATAATAACTCTATTTGACAGGTCAATTATAGGAACAATGTGACTACTTTCTATCCAGAAGAAATAAGCGCTATGGTGCTTGGTGTTTTGAAAGAAGATGCAGAAGCGTATATTGGGAGTAAAGTCACCGATGCTGTTATAACAGTTCCTGCTTATTTCAATGATTCGCAACGAAAAGAGACTAAACATGCTGGCGAAATAGCTGGGTTTAACGTACTTCAATTATTGAACGAACCCACTGCAGCCGCTATCGCATATGGAATTCAAAATAAGGTTTGTTAAATCTTCCTATAGCAAGAACCAAGCCGATTTATTGGTCTGAATATTTACTAAACTGTTGGATTTTTCAACAAGGTACAGGATGAAGGCCCTCGTGATGTTTTAATATTTGATCTTGGTGTAGAAACGTTTGACGTTACGGTGATGACAATAGAAAAGAATGTATCTGAAGTTAAAGCAACGGGAGGCGATTCCCATTTAGGAGGTAAATAACGTTTTATGTTACGTTCCAGTTTTATATCATTTTAGTATCTAATTCCCAAAGATTGTTTTGAATTATCAAGAATATTGCTGATTCTACCATCGTGTATGCAGCTTAGAAGATACACTTTACGAAACTTCTTGTAATTTCATTCTCGTTCTAGAGCAGGAGTGGGCAACATACGGCCCGCGACGAGATTTTGACCGGCCCGCTGACTGTATCCAACCACACTCTGTAATGTGGTTCGACGCATCATTCCTGAAAGTTGCCGATCGCTCTACTCTAACCGCACTGTCAGTGCTATCTGGTGAAATGAACAATTGCTTCAGTGAACAAATAATTTTGTTAGCACAATTGTTAAACAAACAATATAAGGTCAAAGCAGAGAGCGTTGTAAACATTCCCCACTACTGTTATCAGTTATAGTTATAGTTAGATTCTAAATACAAATAGATTTTATATTAAGTTTTATTAACCATGAAATATCCCAAGAAACGTATAGTTGATATAAGCATATTTTGTAATACTCCGGCCCACCCAGAACTTCATTTACCTACATCTGGCCCGCCGACTAGAGAAGTTGCCCACCCCAGTTCTAGTAGATAGTTTAATGTGAAAATTATGCCAATGGAAAGCGTCATATTTAATTAACAATAGTCATTAATTTTTATTTCCTTGGATCACGCCATCAATAAGAATACCCTTATAATAATCAAAACTTGGGAACCTTTAAATTTGAGTTTAAAATATCTTTTATTAAAGTCTAAAAGTCTAAACGTTTTCCCAATAACTTCAAAAACAATGAAATTTAAAAAATTTTAATCTTAATTTTACTTATACAAAATTATCACTTTTGATAAGGAAACTTCAAAATAGTTTTTTCCAATGGAATCAACCATTACTTTTAAGCATGTGGGATTTCGTAAAATATTTTTTTATTTTGTTTAATTCAGGCAAAAACTTCGATAATCGAATGGTTGATCATTTTTCCAAAATGTTTGATAAAAAGCACAGTGCAAATATAATGGATAATAAAAGAGCATTGAGTCGACTACGAGTCAAATGTGAAGCAGCCAGGAAATAACTATTAGTTGCGACACACGCAAAGTAATCACTTTGTTTTGTGACCGTACAATTACATCTAAACTTACTCTTTATCAGGTATCGTGTAACCGATACTATCTATATTGCATTGTAATATTTATCATAATCAAACGATGTTAAATCATTTTCGAACAAAACTATTCTAAGCATTCGTTTTATAGGTTTGATATACGACTAGTCTATGAGCAATAGCTTAGGAATGTTTCAATGCGAAAAAACATAAGTACCTGATCGAATATGAGTTGCAAAAACTAGCTGATATTTTTAACTAAAGGTTAAACACAAATGAAATCCTATTTATTTGATTTACAGAAACAATACACGATTTCTATAAAATAATGATTGTTAACATATATGTAATAGTAGTGTTTTATTAAATAATCATTCACTTTATTGAAAATAATCAGTTTAAGCAAATTGAACAGAATTCGGCTAGATAAACTTCATAGCGGAATTGATTTTAAAGCTTCACTCAGTCGAGCCATATTCGTAGAACTAAATAATGACTACTTTGAAAAAGCAATTAAATCCGTCAAAAAAAACTCTTCTAGAAGCAAAGTTGGACAAAAACAAGGTATGAAATATTAAAAATTAAAGAGAGTCGTATTGTTTTGTTTCAAATTGATAATAAAATGATTGTTTCATAATCAAAAATTATGACACTACAATTTGAAAATTATTTATTATCAGATAGACGACGTAGTTCTCATTGGCGAATCCACAAGAATTCCCAAACTTTGCGAGATGTTGCAACAATTTTTTTCCGGAAAAACTCTGTATAAAACCATTTGTCCATATGAAGCGGTGGCATATGGCGCAGCAGTGCAGGCGGAAAACATAAAGTTAGGAAAGGTAACTTATTAAACAATTTTGATGACAAGACCTATTTACCATAAGTTCACTAAATTATTACTTCTAAGAGTCATATTCCTACCTAATTTAAATTAGGTGTGGCTGCTCGCGACTCCGGTCTCACAAATATTATTAGTATTAAAAAGTATACAAATAGTATTATTATTTCATCATTAGTTATTTATTTGATGCATGAATTTCCGTTCACTTACTTTTTATTTGTGACAAATAAACGATTGACTGGCTGACTCATGACCATTTTATATAGCAATGTTTTAACAAGTGTTAATAAATAACAGCAGCAAATTATATTGTTTGATTTTTCTGGTACTTCATTGTGACAATATAGAAGTGGCTAACGCAAAAATTGGTAATTTTGGAACCCACATAGATTTTTAAATTATCGTATTTCAAAAATACAACATCATATTTTTGTTTAGTGTATTCTTCGCGACATCGTTCCTTCATCACTCGGAGTTGAAGTAGATGGAGATTCCATGTCAGCAGTTATCATGAAAAACACGCAAGTCCCAACTAAACGCACCGGAAACGTTACAACAGCGCCTTACAAACAGACAACTCTGGGCATTTCTGTAAGTAAGCGATTGTTGGTATATCGAAAATTATGAGAAAAATTCCTAAATCACTTGACCACGTTGTCCAACAAACTGGATTGAACATCGATTTATAGTATTAGTAGTATGGAAATCACTTATTAGTCATTTAGGTTTCCCCTTGGCCGCTGTTAATTTGAAATCAAGCACACACTCTCTCATAATAACCATATACAAAATCTTTCTCCTATTACCCATAAGAAACCATAACTTACGTGGGACTCACATATGAGTGTAGATTAGGGGTGGGCAAGGTTTTGGACTAGTGGCCAAAAGTTTCGCCCATCGGGACACGCGGGTCATGTAGATGTGTCGTAGAAAGATACATTTAGTTGCAATCTCAACATATTCCTTGAGCTGTTTTTTAGCTAAAACGTTATGGCAATAGCTCCCAATCTTCACGCTTGGGGACGATAACAAAACTTCGTCGACACTAAATTGAAACTCGAGGCTGCGCGTTACCGCAGACAACAACATGAAAGTCTGTGGCAACCTAAAATACAACTTACATTGACTACGATTATGATCTCCAGGAATGGCGAATATATTTGCTATCGCGGACCATTTTATCAGTCACCGCTGAGTGAGCGGGCCGCACCACTTTTTAGTCATACTATGATACCTGTTAATTTTTATCAACAGAAACGAACAAAAAAAAGAAAGTACTCTAACGGATGCATCTATACATTAATTTGTTGCTAAGTGAGGTTTTTGAAAACTTTTTTGCTTTACTATGTTAATATTGGAACCAGCTGACGATTTGGAAACTCTCGAATGCATACTAAGATTTTCGTCTGTTGGTCTTTTAACCTGTATCGAATAAGTTCTGTTTAGGGTAAGTTTTGTTCACTTGGCCGAGCGCTGCTCCGCTTGGTTGTTCAAGATCTTAATTTCCGTTCGAATACCGCAGCATTTCTGACTTAAATATTTTGGTCAATTACTGGGGTATTACTGCACAATCAATCAGTTTTTGGATCTCCGCTCTAGAAGACCCCTATTATCAGTCGTTCGGTCTGTCTGTGTGTCCAAGCTTAATGGCTGGACTGATCTGTATGAAATTTCACCGGTAGGTTACCTTGTCAACCTAGATATGTGCGTTTCCCGGAAGCTCGAATTGGTGTTCCGTTTCCATGGCAGCAGCAAAAACGCGCCGATCGTTGAAAATATTGCCATTTTATTATAAATTTTCTCCATTTTCTCGGCAGCCAAGTCGAATATTAATATTCCGAGAATGCTACCCTCCGCGGAAAAAAATACTCTTTCTAACAAGTCGTCTTTCATCTGGATAGTCCATAAACTAAGAAAACCTTAGGGATTTTAATGAACATGTTTTAATCGAAAGCCACAGCATAAATATGCACACCGATACCGATGAGCCGCACAGCGCTCAAAATGAACTGGCGGTTCTTGTACAATTTTCTCTGTACATTGACGTCTCTCTCTGTATTACCCGTTAGTAAACTGCTATTACGCGGGCCTCAAGCACTAGCGGAGATCCACATTGGGCGCCTACCGGCTTGTTCTTATTGTTAAATTGTAGTTTTTGAAATTCAATCGCAGCCCTAAGGATTGTCTGACGTTGGTATCTTGAAAATAATATTGGTTGGTAGCATTGTGATGAACCGGAGTCAGTGTTGCAAGTACAGATCCAATTTGTATAACTCGTAACATCGCAAAAATACAAATCGAAACTAGATATAATCGGGATGTTTTACACGCTTTCTTATGGCCGTGAATTGCCGTGAAATTTCATAGTATTGTTCTCATTTAGTCGGCGCAACCGCTGGTTTTATAAAACACCCGAATATATTATTGAAGCCAGACATTATAAATAGAATCATATTGTTCGTGAATAGAATACTTAGCGCAAATGAAAAATAAATACCAAATAAAAAAAAGACTGGCTCTTGTACCGTGTGGCGTAATCGCGGCAACTGTCTAAAAAGCTGTTCTGTATGGATTTAGAGACGATGAATATGTATTTTTAAATCCTTGCTGCTAATCTATGTCAACTATGTACAATCGATTAATAATTGTACCAAAATAACTTATACAGTCTGAGAATTTATCATAGATCTTGGAATCTTTCTCACCGCGATAAAATATATAAAAAAACGATATCTCGCAAATGGGAGAAACCATGAGCATAATTTAATTATTATGACAAGACACTTAAAATGCTTGTATGAGCCGTGGATCGAATACTCATTACCTTATCTGTCAAAAAAGTGGGTCTTTACACAAGTGACCTGATTAATTGCTGCGACTGTTACATGAATATTTACGGATTCCCATTTTACACCCCAATCCCCTCTTTAGTGAGCATGGCTGCGCCTGACATTTTAGTGGCTGGAAAACTGTCAAGTAAGCTTAATAACATTTAAATTGGGAAATTGTTATATAATTGTTTTTCGAAGGTACATGAAAAAATTATAATTGTTCCAAAGTTTTGACTATTTTACGTAAAAAATATTACTTCAGTATAAACATGTTATGGATTTTACACTTTTAATATCAATTATCATGGGACCTTCTTGATAGTTATATTTTATAATCTTTTAAATAGGCATTTCATCTACCCAAAATCATACATGTGTTATGTTCAGGAATGTGAGGAAGAAAAGAAGGCAAGGGACTATCTGGCAATGTACATAAAACATGTTAGAAATGCAGTCAGGACTTCAAAATATAATTTCAGCTTGGACGATGTAACAATGCTAATTGACTTGTGCACAGATGGAGAGGAAGTTTTGAGAAACCTTGTGAGATTATATTTATTTAATGCCAATTGTAACATTAAGAATTTCAGCTGACTGTCCCAAATAGAATAAAATTCCAAGCATTTTAGTTTTGGAATTCTTTTGATTGAGGCTATTTAATATGGCATTAATATAAAATATATACAAAATGAAAATATGACAAATTTTGACTCAGTAATCAAATTTCAAACTGGAAAAATAAAATACATCCATTTAAATTTGAAGAATTCCTCACATGGAAAACTACAGTCAACATTGGAAAGTATTACGAATGTATATTCTGAAGTATTAAAACTATTAGAGGAGACAAACAATGTATGCATAGTCTGAGAATAACTTTGTTAATGATTTAATAGTCTGTACTTATACGACATTACTTTTTCCGCTAACAAGCCTTTGTACTATAAGCCGCTGGTATGTAGGGACTGTTTTATGTTCTTTTCGGCTCGGTATTGCCATGAATGAGGTGGTGAGCATTTTTCTGTAATTAATGCTTGTTTTAATTCATTTCAAACAGGACATTTTACATTGTTTGCATTCAATCAACATGTCTATTAATAAAAACGTATCTCTGTTTCAGAACTTAAAAACAAAACATATTGCAAACAATACAAAGGTTGGAGGAGAAAAGAACCTGCTTTCTGCATACGTTAAGTACGTAAGAACTGATATCGAAAATCCTGAATTGAATGTGGAGCCTGCAGACAAAAAATTGATCATAGACAAATGTGATAGAACAGATACTTGGATTGAAC